TTTGACCTGTTTGGGCGCTAGCCTAGTCTATCCACTTGCGGCGTGGCCAGGCTATTTGGGCACCTCTGTGTGCGAAAAGTTCAAACCCTAGGTGATGAGTTTCCATGTGGAGATAACCCACCAGGTGCGTTCTGAGAACCATCCATGAGTTCAGTCACAACTTCCCTTCCGGTCAGGTACATGCATTTCGTTCCAGCCGATATGCCATTCGTTGCCGGATGCCGCCGCATCCTTCGAGCTTTCGATGCAATCATGGCTCAAGCCATGCACGGACTAGATCATGAAGTTGAGCGTGAAAAGTCCGAGTGATCGCATTTGGATTTGGGTGGTGGGTCATGTTTTGTTCTGGTGTTCACTTGAAGTACATGGATCCCTGGTCATGCTTTTGTTTTGGGGTCATTGCTTTTGTTTTTGGGGTCATGTGCTTCGCATGGTAGCGGAGGTAATGGTGCTCCTATATACACACGTAGGACGACACGCAGTGATCCAGGTCACTAGAACACAACCTCACCCATCCAATTCATGAGCCATGGCTAAGAGGTCTGCTGAAGAATCATTGGATCGCGATCGATCTCCCCGCGGTCGTAGTGGAGGCCCATCAGAAAGGGGCCAATCAATGCCTGCAGGTCCAAGTACGACATCGAAGCGATCACAACCTGTTACTAGTCCCAATTTTAAATTGGAAGGTCAGATTGAAGAGCTCACCAAAGGTTTGCAGATGATGGGAACTCAGTTGCAAACCCTTGCAAGTGTTGTAGAGAAGCAGCAATCGGCATTTGTTCGTACGCAGGAGACCTTTCAGGTTCAACAAACTATGATTCAGAACCTTCAAGCTCAGCGTACTGCTCTCCCGATTTCACCGAGAGTTCAGAATCCACGTTCAAGTCCATTTGGTGCTGCCACAAACACCGGAGGTCAGGCCAATGGACTGTCGCCTTTTGGAACAATGGGTCCGACAACTACGAATCAAGCAGAGTCACAACAGAATGTTACAGCTTCTGGTGAAGTATCTTCAGGTGTTCCTGCAGGAATTCCCAAGATTGCGTTGCCTGGCGGGATTGAAATCCCACTTGGAGCATCCTCATCGACTACCGCTGCAGGAACTGGAGGTACATCAGAGAAGCCTGTATTGGACGCATTTCAACGGCCTGATAAGTGGCTGCCAGAAATGCCTGTTGTTGATGCTAAGAATTGGCGTACACGTACCGAAGAGATCATTGGTTTTGAGACGTTCATGGAGAATTTTTCAGCTTGGCTTGGTCTTGTCTCTGCCTCATTTGCCACGGAAGTACGTTTCGCCATGACGGCCAGTAGTCCCATTGATTCATCCATGCTCACTGAAGAGCAGAAGGCCCGTGGAATTCGCTTGCTGAACATGTTGCGTCAGATCTTTCGTGAGACTCCCAAGGCAAGAGTCATTTTGTTGGCTTACAGCGCGTCATCACATCTCGGTGAGCGCAACGGCTATGAAGCCCTTCGTTTGATCGCCCACGAATACCTTGTTCGATCTCGACAGGAGGTGATGCACTTCAGGAATTCGTTGATGGGACGCACCTTCAAATCGAACAGTGTGACCGAGTTGATCAAACAGATGGAGGTTGAAGAGAGTAGGTATGAAAAGCTGTTGAACATGTTGCCAGCTTCCCTCTCTCGGAGTGGGCTGGAACTCCAATCCACCGATCTCGCAATGCTTTTCCTTCGTTCGCTGCCGATGCAGATCCGTGAATACACCACCATGCATAGCAATACAGATGATTACAAGGATCTTAAGATAGCTGCTTTGAAATACGAGACTTCACAAAGGTTGTGGACAGAAATTGGGGGTAACACTGCCCCTCAATACATGCAGAGCATTTTCGATCCCAACAAGCCGAAAGGTAAAGGTGAAAAGGGAAAAGGAAAGGGGAAAGAGAAAGGAAAACGATCCAATTCCAGCAGCCCAAACAAGAAGGCTGATGACAAGAGCGACAAAGAAAAGAATGCCATTTGCTTCAGATGCAATCGAAAAGGCCACTTTCAGAGCAATTGCCGTGCCCGCACCGACAAGGACGGCAATCCACTGAGCCCGATGGAGAGACCCAAGAATCAAGGTGAACATGCATCAAAAGGCAATTCAAACACCGATGGAAAGGGAAAAGGAAAAGATGGTAAAGGCAAAGGCAAGAAAGGGAAAGGGAAGGTTCACGAATTTATTTCGTCCGAGCAGCCAGAGCTTGAGGAATCTCCCGCGAGCCGTGCAGCACGTGCTGATCCGACGGCTCCCATGAGCCCTTTCGTTGCATCTCATGCCTCACTGTCAGCCCCCTGTTTACAGACCATGGCTGAATTCGAGCGTACCTTGAATTTTGAGGACTGCAAACGAAACGAAAATCCACGAATGTCAGTAGATGATTTTGTGGTTGATTCATGTTTGAGCTTTGACAGTGTCCTTTCTTCATGCGGTGATTTGTTTCAAGAAACATGTTTTGAGTTAAATCCAGTAGTGCACAACTGGTTCATGCCGTTTTTGATGCCCCCATCGAATTGGTCTCATCAGGATCATTCGGATGTGTGTTGGTGGTTGATAGATTCAGGAGCAAGTGCCTCTGTTGTGAGCAGTCGGTTTCTCAGCGAGTATGAAGTACTTCACCAGGTTCTGCTCCCCACCAACAGAGCTGAAGGGTTCTCCTCGGCCTCAGGTGAAGTGATTGTGCCGACAGCTGTAGCTTGTCTCAGAGCTTTCTTCAGAATGAACTCCATGGAGGATCCCCGGGTTGAAGAGCTCAAGGAATGTTTGATTACAGTTTTTGTGGCCGATGTCAATGTTGTCTCAGTTGGCACTTTGTTGAAGAAAGGTTGGTGTTTAGGAAGCAATGGAGCATTCATGGAGATCACCAAAGACGGATTTCGCCTTCAGATTACCACGTGGCATAATGTTCCATGGATGTACCACGAAAAGTGTGGTGCAGTCAAGTGTCAGTCTGTTGATGCGACTCCTCCCGACTGGTCTAAGACACATTCTAGGGAGTTGAGATCCAAAGGGCGTGCATCATCAAGCAAGCATGTTCGTTTGATCACAAACACAGATGTTTGAAAGCTCCAGTGAACCTTTCTTGGTTGCCATGAAGCGCAAAGCGGAAGACGAGCTTCCGATCGAATTGTCGCCCCAAACCGTTTACCGTCAGCCTCAAGCCGATCCATCTCCCGATAGCCGAACCGCCGTCGGAGTCCCAGAGACTGCCGAGCAGTCAGGTGCCCCTGCTTCGTCGTCGGCTTCCGGATCTAGAAGGGTTGATGTTGATCATGATCAGATTGTTTTAAATGAGCCCAATCCCAGTCTTGGCAAACATGTTGAACTCGAGCCGTTCGATCCGATCTCATCCTCAGGTCTACGTTCAGGTCCCCAGGAAGACACGTCTGTGTTGAAGTCTCAGGGAGCTGATTCGGTCGCCCATCCATCTGTTGAACCATCTGAAGAACAATTCTCATCCAAGCATCCGGTTGTCTTGAAGAACAACCAACGTGTCCGACAATCCCTGGAAGAGCATCGCAACCAAGGTCATTTTCCGTTCCATGAAGACTGCCTGTCTTGTTCTTCAGCCAAGTCCGTGACTCAACGTCGAAGACGTAATAAGGATAAGATTTACTTTGAGATTAGTGCCGATTTCTTCTTTATTGAGAAGTATAAGTTCCTCATTTTGGTTGACATGTCAACTGGGATGAAAGGTTTCGTGCCGATATCACCGGTCATCAAGACCAATCAGGCTTGGCTTCGAAATTGGTTGCATGAGTTCAATCTGCTTGGAGAGTCCCGGTTTCCACTTGAGATCTTGACCGATGCTGAGGAAAGTGTTAGCCAACTCTTCCTTGG